CTGTCCTGTTCCATGGCATTTCTGTGTCAGCATTTCTTAGCTCAAGCTTTGCATGTGGATGCCCACCGTGTGTCTTCTGTCAGGTTTTGAGAATTTCCTACAAATCCATTTCCCACATTTCCCCCTCTCTCTTGGACAGAAAAAACCTCTTTGATGGTTTTGTTCATTGATTGCTGTGCACAGTGAGGTACACAGGGGTTTGTCACTGACGTTGTCACTATAATAATCAATGTCTAGAAGCTTATTTTAATAAATAATTATAATATATATAATATTATATAAGATATTATATATTATATTAGATAATATATACACTGTATTTTATATTTTATATATAAATATATCATACTATATATATCACACAGGGCTTTATCACTGACGTTGTCACTATAATAATCAATGTCTAGAAACTTATTTTAATAAATAATTATAGTATATATAATATTATATAATATATAAAATACAGTGTATATATTATCTAATATAATATATAATATTTTTATATAAATATATCATACTATATATATCACACAGGGCTTTATCCCTGGCATTGTCACTATAATAATCAATAGAATAGAATAGAAGTTTCAATAGAAACTTATTTTATAAAATAATTATATATATAATATTATATAATATATAAAATACAGTGTATATAGTATCTGATATAATATACAATATTTTATATATAAAATATATCATACTATATATATCACAGGGCTTTATCACTGGCATTGTCGCTATAATAATCAATAGAATAGAATAGAAGTTTCAATAGAAACTTATTTTAAAAAATAATTATATATATTATATAAAATATAAAATACAGTGTATATATTATCTAATATAATATATAATATTTTATATATAAAATATATCATACTATATACATCACACAGGGCTTTATGACTGACATTGTCACTATAATAATCAATGTATAGAAACTTATTTTAATAAATAATTATAATATATATTATATTATATAAAATATAAAATACAGTGTATGTATTATCTAATATAATATATAATATTTTATATATAAATATATCATACTATATATATCACACAGGGCTTTATCACTGACATTGTCACTATAATAATCAATGTATAGAAACTTATTTTAATAAATAATTATAATATATATAATATTATATAAGATATAAAATACAGTGTATATATTATCTGATATAATATATAATATTTTTATATAAAATATATAATACTATATATATCACAGGGCTTTATCACTGGCATTGTCACTATAATAATCAGTAGAATAGAAGTTTCAATAGAAATTTATTTTAATAAATGATTATAATATATATAAAATTAAACAATATATAAAACACAGTGTATATAGTATCTGATATATAATATAATATAATATAATATAATATAATATAATATAATATAATATAATATAATATAATATAATATAATATAATATAATATAATATAATATAATGTNAATTTTGTGGCACATTTAGGGATTTTGCTGTTTATTTTTCTTTTCTAACTGAACTTTGACAGTCATAGAAGGTTTTTTCTGGATGTTGGGTTATTTTTTAATAGTAACTCCCAACTATTTTCCCATTAGTAACTCCCAAACCCTCGTGGGTTTGATTGAGTCTTGGCTGAGGTTGGGTCCTTTCTTGGCTCAATTAAATGCAGTTTGTGCCCAAGGCAGGCAGGAACACAATTACTCTGGGGCTCTTCATGGGCTTGAGGATATGAAAGTGTTTGGTCCAATATCTGAGACAGTTTGTGCTGGTGAAGTCATGAAATGAATCCATTTGACCAGTGAATGAAGAGGCACATTTTCCAAAAATCCTTATTCTAAGGGAAGAAATCTCCCTTCAATGAGCCTGTTCCCACTGAGCATCTCTGCAGTTTTACTTTGCAGCCTATCATTGCTAAATTCATCTCTCTTGTTGGCATGACCAGTAGGAAAATAACAAAACCCTATTGAACTGAAATTACGAGGCACAAGAGGCTTCTGTATTTCCATTTTACATGTTTATTTTGCAGCCAGTCCCTCAGTATTTTATTCTCTAAGCTGATTTTGCAATTTACAATGATATGTTTACATATTTATTTTTAAAAAAACTCAACATTTTTATGGTGGTGTTACTTCTCATCCAGGAAAATAATCATTGCTGAGGTTTTTTGTAGGTGCTCCTGCTTCTTCAAGAGGCTTTTCACATTGCTTTAGTTTTTAT